ATGCTAATTTTGATTGATGTAAAAACAAATTCAAACAGCGAAAGTTTAAGCACAATTTTAAGAGGTGTCAAATGGAAAAGTGAAACTAGCAACACTCAAAACTAAGACCAAAAGTCGATAAATCAAAGCAAATAACATGAAATTTATTAACAAATCAGAATGGTAAAGCCGGCCAACGCAAAGCTGCAGCTGCTATTACCCAATAAGCACAACAACAGCAACAACAACAACAACAACGAATACGTGACGCCCTACAATTGTCGATTAGCAGCTAATCAGAAGCCAAGCAAACGATCGTTAAAACGACCACAAAACCAAAACAATTGCGAAGCGAAGCAGCCTTAGCTGAAAGTGAAAGCACTCAGAGAGAACGAGTAACAGAGAGAGAGAGAGAGGGGGGGGAGGGGGGCGAACTGGAGACAGCGCATTGTAGAGTAAAGGTTGCTCTGTGAGCCGCAACGAACTCTTAAAACTCGATTACGCTTACAAACACAGCAAAAGCGAAAGATACAAAAAAAAAACTTCGACTTTAACTACAAACTGAGTTCATGTCCAAAATCCAAATAAAACAGTAATACTTTCAGAAGGCACGACTGTGCAATACCCTGTGTTGAGTGTATTAAGAGCTTAAAACGAGTTGAAAAAAAAAAACTTCTTCATGCTACAAAATTTGCCAGGTAATATAGAGAAACCCCCTTTAAATAAAACTAGAAGATTTTCAGGCTTTGATTAGACTCTGTCTATTAATTCTTATATAAGAAAGTTTCCTTATATTTATATAAAAGTAAAAAGATTTAAATGACTCCTAGTTGAGTTTGAGGCTTTAGACTTTTTGGTAATATATTTCAAATTTAATGGTGTTTTGGTTTTTTGGAAATTTCTTTTTCGGCTATACAGAAATTGAAGTTTCTTTCAAAACCGAAATGCCCTTTCATCTTTTCAGACGTAAAAAAACCAATGCTTAGGTGCCGACATGTGCAGCCGCCAAGTTGAGTCATGGAAAAACATTTTGGCCGCGCTGCTGCTGCTCTTGTTGTTGTTGTTGTTAACAATTTGAGTGCAGGAAGTTGGGGTGTTTTTCCATATGCCGAACCTTGAAATTTCGGCTGCCCCAAGTGAAATAGAAAGTTTTTTAATAACAACGCGAGCAGTCACAGCAACAATAACAACAACACAAACAATGACGACAGCCAGCGCCTGTGCAACGTGGGTGTTGAACAAAGTTGTTGTTGTTGTTGTTGTTGTAGCTGTCATTAAACGACTCCATTTTGTTTCCAGTGAGCGACTGCAAAATGCAAAAGTTGTTGTTGCCGCCCACGCAGGCGCCTGTCAACATGAGCAACGCTTGTTTACATTGTTAACATGCGAGCAGAGTTGCCATTTGCCTCATCGGTAAGGGTAGCTAAATTCGTTGTGCGTAAAGCAGCTACAAATAGTTATTAGAAAAATTGAAATGCCCCAAAATAGCTAGATTAGTTTGAAATTTAAACTCTTTCCGGTTGATGACCTCTGAAAAAGAGCCACATTTAGCTGGAAAATAGCTGAAAGCGGCAACACTGTCTTTCTTGGCTTTCTTTAGTTTTCGATATGTTGCTGGCTTTGGCTTTTCGACGGAAGTGTTGCATTGGGCTCGCAATTAGTTGACTGCCTGCCAAGTTAAATGACTCATGCGATCTTTTGGACGCCTGTTGCGTTGCGTAACTGTGGCTCCGCTCCGGGATATTGCATGCATGCCGGGCCAAACGACAAGAAGAAGCAGGCTGATATATTGGCGAAATGCGCATTCAAAAGGCAAAAGCGATAAAAGGCAGCGACTTGCATTGCATAATATTCCATGTGGCAATCGACGCCCATTGTGAGCTTAAGTTATCACCAACTCAGTTGAAGCACATAAATTCTTAAAATCAACATCAATACAAAAGACTTGAGCAGAAAACTTGACTACATTTTTTCGTATATACTTTCAACTTTCCACAATATCCGTTTATAAAGCTCACCTCAAATATCAATCATTAATCCGAATGCATTAGCAGTTTTTTACGCCAGTTGATGGATTTGCGTTTTCTATCAATTTTTTTGATGCCTCTCGTCTATCGCACGTTATTTTCAATTACATTTTGCACACGAACAAATTTCACCAAAAAAACAACAACTGCAAGTAAACAGGCAAAAGGCAACCAAATTGAAATTTCTATAAACATAATGGCCAACTGAGAGAGCGGGAGAGAGGGAGAGAGAGAGAAGGAGAGACTCGGACATTGGTAGGCAAGATGAAGCACGTTTGACAGCCAGCGGGAGACGGAGACGGATGCGAAAAATGTGGTTTTGTGGCTTCAAGGAATGCAGCAAAAGCTTTAAAATTATCGAAAAACAAAATCTAAACATAGCAATTGAGAGAGTGCGACAGAGAGGCACAGAGGGGGAGGGGGGGGGATGCAAATGTTGATGGGCAGAGCAGCTGTCAGTGTTGTACAGAAACAAAAAAAAAAAAATTGGCACAAATGCGCAGCGTCGCCAAAATGGCACAACTAACTGTAAATAGTGAAGCTGGCGCTGCAGCTGGAATTGGAGCTGAGGCTGAGGCAATTTAGTGCCCGATCCCATTGGAAATAGCCAACATGTGTGTAGGCTGTGCGACCGGCATAAGCTGGTCAACAGAGACAGGTTATCCAGCTAGTGCAAGAACTTTTTTCATGAATGAGCCGCCGCCTGCTTAAACTGGATGTGATTTGCATCCCGTGTTCGCAATTCACCCATTTTCAAGCAAAGTTATGCATTTTTATTAGAGGTCGTCGGCTATTTTAACTATTTGTCGGCAAGTTTATTGCCAATTTGTGCTAAAAAAAAAAGAAGATAATTCTGCTTATTGTCGCTATTTCTAGCCACAGCTGGCAACACTGTTCGCATCTCGCATCCGGCATGGCAACAGGGCCGCAGCTGTCTTTCAGCCCGGCGTCGAGTTGTACAGACTAATTAGTTTGGCGTCTGCCCTTGCAGTTATGTTATTAGGCTTAATCAACGTTTTATTTGTTATGCTTTTGGCTGCAGCGGCATTTATTTTAATTAACAGTGAAAATATATGTGCACGAAAACAAATTAAAAATGCTTGCAACAAATTTCACAGCGCGAAAACCACGTAATTTGCAACAATAGCAACAACAACAAAGACAGAGAAGACGCAGTTTAAGACGGTGGCAAAAGGTAGCGCAAAAAAGAAAGTTTTGTTTTTTGTCTGGTTATTGTTGTTATTGCTTTAGCCGTATTTTTGCTTTTCTACACTCGCACACACACACACATACACAGACAGTTAGACAACGCCGCGCACAAATATCATTCATTCGAATTCCGTTTACATTTTGCCTTTTGCGGCTGCTGCTTCTTTCAATTTTTAATTTATATGGCAACGTCAACAGCAGCTTTGCGCTCGTTTTAGTTATTCACTTTTCATAGATTAACGCACACAGACACAAATATACGCGTACACACACGCACGTACGCACAAACACTCGAGTGTGTGTGTTTGGCTTCTTTTGCTGCTTGCTTGCTCTGCTTTTGCTTTTTACCGTCAACAGGTGTTCAACGCACAGAGGCTCAACGAAAACTGAAACCCGAACCGAGCGCGCTGCCATCAGCCGAGTGCTGCGCTCAGCTTGTGGTGAGTTTCGTCAGCCGCTCGCTTGAGCTGCTGTGGTGAATTTCGGTAGCCTGCCATTGACTCTGATCGCAGCAGCAACAACAATTGAAAGTGCCAACTTATCGAATATGTCCAATTGAGCCGCTGCACTTGCGCGTGTTATTAGCCAAATAACAGCAAAAGGCAAAAGGCAGCGCATTGCAATTGTATCAAATAGCCAATGGTTAGGCCTAAACAGCACATTAGACACTAATCGCTGCAGTTGCAGTGTGCCCAAACGTCACTAACAAGCCGCCGGCTTCAATTGCTCTTCTCTTAGCCCATCTGCCTTATAGTTGGGGGCGCGGCAACCAGCCAAGTTCCAATCAGCAGCGTGTTCAACAATTACCTCGCAAATTGCAAACGCACGAGATCAAGATTAGGCGTAGACAAAGACAAAGGCCGCTAAAGCAATTGAAAATGAAAACTACAAAGAAGGAACTGTACTTTATGTGCTTAGTCGACAACTTGATGCCCTACAATAGCAATAAAATAATGAAAGTAACATGATGAACATGATTGATGCCCTTCAATAGTAATTTAGAATTTGAATAATTTAATTTAAATAACCTATCGATTTACCGACTTACCGAAGTTTTGATGATGTAGGGCAGAAGTCTTCATAGCCTATAGTTTCGAGGTGAGGCTGTGATACCCTGTAGAAGTATAAAATTAATGACATTTCTAAGAATAAATGTTTTGCGGTTGTAATTGGCTTTACCTTCTTAAAATTCTTGTGCGTTGCGAACATCGTGACGAAGTCGTTAGCCCTGAGCATACCGTAGACTTGTAAGGTCTAACCCTGAAGTTTTTCGTTTTCCATTTCTATGGAGGCTTCTCTGTAAATAGCCTCTATTACACGAGCAGCAATTGCGTTTGCGGCTTACCACGAGTATTCAATTGCATTGGATGAGCACACCGCACACCCACAGCAGGAGTGGGAGTGGGTGTAGATGTTGTAGTAGCCGCAGCCACAGCCACAAGAGGAGCTGATCACGATCCGTTGGCGGTATTCGTTTTTCATGTCACCTCATTTGGCAGCCAAGCAAAAAACAACTGATAAGAAGAAGATATTCGAAATCGAACTGCAGGCCATGACAGAAAAACCATGGGCCATGACCAGTGAAATTTTTGTTTACCTATCCTCACTTATTCTGCACGTACTTATTTATTTGATTTTTTACTATTGTTTGGCACCTGTTAATGGGGAAAACCCTCACAACTGGCCATAATTGAGCACGTTGGCAGCTTTAACTGTTCTTAGCGCCTGGCTATTAATGTCGAAGTCCAAGCCGAAGCGGTACTTTTGGGATTCATTGAGCAGGCGTTTTGCGGTCAATGCGGACGCATCGCTCTCCATTGGCCTTTTGTTTATGTTTATTTTCTCATAATTTATTTAGTATTGAGTACAAAAATTTGTGTAGCGAAACAAACTGAAGCAATGTAAGAAAAACATGCGGCAACTGCCGGTATAAACAAGAGCTATATATGATTGCAATATTAAAAAATAAACTTAAGTATGCCTAATATTTGGGCAACTCGGAGTAGCGTGGGGGCGTCGACCAGAGCACGCTGGAGTTGCGCTTCAAATGACTGGGATCAATGTTGGGGAATATCTTCTTCAGATCCGGTGTTTGTGGCGCCACCGAGAAGAAGCTATCGATGATATCCGTTGGGCAAAAAGTTTGTACACAAATCGCAGCGCCGCGCACATGAGCTGTAAGAGATTAGGTTTAGCAAGCTGGTATGGGCATATAGAATATATTGAATGTTAGCTTACAGCGACTCCAGCTTGGCACTGGTGGCCGCTTGTAGGAGACCTTGCCCTCATCATCGGTGGAATCATCCTCGTGCAGCATTTCGAATGTGTATTTTGATTTCGGTGGCGGCGGCATCATTTGCTTTGCCTTGGCCGCGTTTAGTTGTTGCAGCTTCATTTGCTGCAACAGCTCACGCTCCTGTTTCTTGATCCGCTCGGCCTCCTCCTGCTGGAGCAGCTTACGCTGCAGCTCCTCCATTTCCATTCGCTTGCGCTGCTCCAGTTTTTCCTTTTCCTGCTGTTTCTTGATGCGCTTCTCCTCGCGCTCCTTGGCCAGCTTGGCCATGCGCTCGGCACGCTCACGTTCCTTGGCCTCGCGCAACTGTGCCGCCTGCAGATGCTTCTGCTCGCGCTGTTTCTTACGCTCCTCGGCCAACAGATGCAGCCCCTTGCGAAAATCTTCGCCACTGTTCTCACGTGTTAAAGTTTTGCTGGAGCTCGAATTGGTTGATTTTAGATTTGTGCCAGTCGCTGTTTTCATTAGCGTTGTGGCTTTGCAGGCGCTCATGGGTGCCTTCTTAGGCTGTGCTGAGTTCACTGGCAACGCATTAGAGCTCTGCGTTGGTGTGAGGAAACGTCCCAGCGTTGGAGCTGCCAGCTTGCCAATAAGCGGCGTTGTGCTAGAACCGGTCGTGCCCTTTAAAGAAGAAGCAAATGTTTATTTATAGACAAATCGTACGTATAAAAGGAGTACGTTTAATGATTAAACGTACCGCGTCCTTGATGCGCTTGGAGCGCAGATTAGTTTGTGCATTGGCCGCATTCTCGAATGCCTCCACACGCATCTTCACTGGACTCTGCAGCAGCGGACTAATAAAGACACAGAAATATAATATGAGCATGCAGATCGGAGCTAACTTGGCCAACAGATGCTTACTTGAACAGCTCGTGTGTGCGCGCTGGCATCTTGATGCCCTTTATGGATGTGGGCACCTTGGGTACAGGATTTGCATTGATTGTCGTTGCTTTTGCTGCCTCGTGCACCGACTCATCTTCGGTCATGAGACTGTTATTTTGAGCCGTTTCGGGTATGCTGCCCTCGCGTGCTGTCTTCATGGATTGGTCCTTTTCGGAGTCTGTGGCGCCGGCATCCACCTGGAATGTGGCATTGCTTGCCATGTGATCACTCAATTGCATTGCAGCATTTGATGTAGGCATATCAAACGTGACCTCGTTAACACCTGCACCAACTGTTCCATGGGCCAAGGTCACGGTTTCATTGGCGGCAACTGCGCCGACAGTACCAGTTGCGTTGGCTACATCATCCACTGCATCTTCGTATATGGAGGCCTGTGGGGGCGGTGCTTGGGACTCCTGCGAATTGCGTGCGCCGTTGCTGCCTAGACGGGTGCGCGATGACACAGGCAAGTTCTTATCAATATCGCTGAACCGTTCAACTTTGATGGGCTTGTGCGCTTCTTTCTTTTTGCGGCCCTTCTTGGCGTTTCCGGTTGTTGTGTTGTTGGCTGCTGTTGTTGAGAGCACGCTTGTTTCATTCGTGACTGATTTTGTGACTTCCAGTGTGGCCGTCGTTGATGCTGTGGTGTCGACGCTCAGCTTCTCGCGCTTGACCTTTATACGGAAGTTAGTGGTGCCCCGTTCGGGCTCCTCCACCTTTTGCTCCTCTGCAGGTACTGGTGGTTCATTAGGCGCGGCCACCACAGGCGCAGCTTCTGCTTGGGTAATGCTTGACGAACTGATTCTGTGCAGCTGCGAGGCGCGCTGTTCACTTTCTAGCTTAATCTTGACCGTCTCCTCCTCGCTGGGTCGCCGCAATTTAGTATTCAAATGTGGCTCCTTGAGTTTTCTCTCAGTGCGCAATTTGGCGGCACGCTGCGGACGTCCGGTGCTTATGCTGGTTTCGGCTGCAGCTGTGACAGGCGCTGGCGGCGGTGGCATCAGCGTACCCGTAGTGTTGATCACATCCTCTTCCTGGGCCACAGCCAACAGCTGTGAATTGCTCATGCGTGCGCTCTGGCGCTGTGAGACCTCGCTGGCGGCAATGGACTCTTCTGCGAGGGCGCCAAAATGAGTTTGCGACTGCACTTAATCATTTCACAACTTACCGTCGCCATCATCTTCGACAAGGGAGGTCAGACGCTTGGGTCGCTTCTTCGTCTGCTGCGGCGTTACGGAGGTACTGCTAAGTTGTACGGGTGGCACAATTTCTGTAGGTTTTACGTCTGCTACAGCAGAGGTTATGCCGAAAAATAGCTGGTCCAGCTCCTCAAAGTGCGCCTGGCAGAGTAGCAAAATGAAGAGGACGCGATCTCATTCACATTCGTTGTAGACGCAACTGTAGTGGAATTTACATACCTTGCGTATTGCTTCCAATTCCAGCTGAAGCTTGGATATATAGCGCATTATGTCCTGTAGGTCGTCCATTTTTTTTTTTTTTTCACTTAACACAAACACACAAATAACAAATAATTAAAGTTTATTTATCCAAACTTCTTTTGTTGCTTTCCGTTTATTTCAAATGGCGGCAATGACTAGCGCGTCGCCAGCCCAACACAAGCGAGATATGAACTGAAAAAACATCGATATGAAACACAAAAACTATCGATGAGTTAATAGTGGCAACTCCACGCTGCTACAGCGATATTACCTAGCACTGAATACAGCTGTTTTCCCGCGCAAAAATATATTTATTTATTATTTACTGAGTATTTTAAGCTAATTTATTATTAGAAATGTGCTTGCAATACAAATTAATTGTTTTTATTTAATAAATTGACATATATTTACCGGCAGCTTTGTTTATAGCAAATGTGCTCGTTGCAGCTGCTCATATTTAGAGTGTTGTAAAACACAAAACATGAGCACACGCAAAGGCTTTTTTATCAGATTGCTTGCAGCGTAAGCAACTAAGTTAAAACACTTTAAAAGATTGGAATTATTTGCATTACCCTAATAGCGGAGTTTAGATTATATTTTTGTATACGATGTACACAAATCGAGTATATCGAATGTTTTGCGCAGTGTTGTTAGCTAGTTAGCAGGCATGCTGGGCCCAACCGGTGCTGCAAAATACTCAAATACATTGTTAAAATTCGCCAGAAATTCGCAAGCCAGCGAAAAATTTGTAATTACTAGGTAAACAAGCAAACCGCGCGCGTTGCGTTAACAACAATAAGATGTATATATGAGAAACTGCACACCGTACACAGACACTTGTCACCAGTAACCCAATACCAACGCGTACACCGCCACACACACGCAGCAATGGGACTCGACTTTGATGTCGTGGAGTACTGCAAAGGTGTGAAATCAAAACAGTCCCAGCCGCCGTTCGCCTGCCCGGTGCGCGACTGTGATCGCAGCTATAAAACACTTGTTGGCCTGCAGGGCCATCTTACCAACTACGACCACGACAATCCGCAGCCCCTGACGCCAGTTCTCAAGCCGAATCGAAAAAGGGCGCGCTCATCTCGCGCGCTCCACTCAACGCCCAAAGACAACGGCAGTGGCGGCGGTGGCAATTCCGAGGGCGAAAACGGCTGCGGCAATGGCAGAACCACCACAAATCCCGAGTCCTTGGTATCCTACAACGAACAGGAGGGCACGGTCACCTTTAACATCGATGGCAAGAGTGTACGCCTGGGCATTGATGATCCCCTGCCAATAGTCGATGATGATGAGTTTGCCGAGCTGGTGGAGCGCGGCTGTATATTGAATGCGGATGCACCGCCGCTGGAGGAGAATGCAGCGTGGGCACAGGTGCAGGTGCCCGTTGCGAATGTCCGCGAAATCGATGACTACAATGTGCCTGATGCGCCGCCCAGGCCCTTGGCCTACTATCGCTTTATTGAGAAGTCTGCCGAGGAGCTGGATGGCGAGATTGAATACGATGTGGATGAGGAGGATTCCGCTTGGCTGGAGCACATGAACGAGCTGCGCGCCCAGCAAAACCTCAATGCGGTCAGCATTGATACTATGGAGCTGTTAATGGATCGCCTCGAGAAGGAATCTCATTTTCAGGCAGCGGCTAACGGCACGCCCACTGGCGTCGAGGTGGATGACGATGCAGTCTGTTGCATTTGCTTGGATGGCGAATGCCAGAACACCAACGTGATACTCTTCTGCGACATGTGCAACCTGGCGGTGCATCAGGACTGCTATGGCGTGCCCTATATACCGGAAGGCCAGTGGCTGTGCCGACGCTGCCTCCAATCGCCCAGCAAGGCGGTCAACTGTGTGCTCTGTCCAAATGCCGGCGGCGCGTTCAAGCAAACGGATCACGGCCAGTGGGCGCATGTGGTCTGTGCGCTCTGGATACCAGAGGTGCGCTTCGCCAACACAGTGTTCCTGGAGCCAATTGGTAAGCTGATCGTCTAAGTTGAAAGAACTTGTGTTTTAATTTTTCTTTAATCTCGGCCAGATTCTATCGAGACCATACCGGCTGCGCGCTGGCGCCTCACCTGCTATGTGTGCAAGGAGAAGGGTCTGGGAGCGTGTATTCAGTGCCATCGCAACAGCTGCTATGCCGCCTTTCATGTGACCTGTGCGCAGCAGGCGGGCCTCTATATGACCATGGACACGGTCAAGGATGGCCATAACGATAGCTCTGTGCATGTGCAGAAGTTCGCCTACTGTCACGCCCATACGCCCGCTGATGCAAAGCTAAAGACGAACGTACCGGACTTCGAGGACACGCGCATGAAGATGCGCGAGGCGCGCAAAGCGCTGGCCAAGAAACGCTCAACGGCGCCGGTAGTTCTAATACCGACAATACCGCCGGATCGTGTGCACGAGATCGCGGCCATGGTGCACATGCAGAAGAAAAAGGAGTTCCTCGATCGCATCATTGCCTACTGGACGTTAAAGCGGCATTATCGGAACGGAGTGCCGCTGCTGCGCCGGCTGCAGAGTCAGGGCAACAATCATGGCGTGATCCAGCGCAATGGCATCGAGGGCTCACCGGACACGAAGGAGCTGTACCGGCAGCTCAAGTACTGGCAGTGTTTGCGTCAGGACTTGGAACGGGCGCGGTTACTCTGTGAGCTGGTGCGCAAGCGTGAGAAGCTCAAGGTGGCATTTGTTAAGATCTCCGAGGAGGTGGTCATGCTGCAGCTAAATCCACTGGAGTCGGCATTGGGCAAACTGCTGGATGCGCTGGAGACACGCGACACCATGGAGATATTCCGGGAGCCGGTGGACACCAGCGAGGTGCCCGACTATATGGATATTGTGAAGCAGCCCATGGATTTGGGCACCATGCGCACGAAGCTCAAGGATTGCAAGTACACTAAACTGGAGCAGCTGGAGGCGGACTTCGATTTGATGATACAGAATTGTCTGGCGTACAATAACAAGGATACGGTATTCTATCGAGCTGGGATACGCATGCGCGACCAGGCGGCGCCGCTGTTCGTGCAGCTGCGCAAGGAACTACAGCGGGATGGATTACTGGAGCGTGGCCAACGCGCTCATGTGGATCATGTGGAGGGCGAAGTGGAGCAGGAGCTGCGACAGCTGCTGGCGATGCCGCCCAGCGAGGATGTAGTTCAAAAGCTGCTCATACTGGCCGACAAGTCACAGGTGCTCAAGAATCCCAGCTATCGCACCAAGAAGATTAAGCAAATCCGCCTGGAAATCAATCGCATGCGCAAAACTCTGCAAAAAGCGCGCTTTGCAGCGGTAAGTATCCAAATTGGGGATGTTATAATTAATTATTTTATCAATTCCAATCCTTTGCAGCGATACTCTTCACATGCGCACTCCCAAAGTGACGATGACAATGAGGAGACGCGTCTTAAACCCTCCAAGAAGCGAACGCGCAAGCGTCTCAATAGCAGCGCCATGGATCTGGACGAATCGCAGGAGCTGCCGTCGCAGCAACACGATGATGAAGACGACGACGAGGATGACTCTGATGATGATTCAATGGCTGACGATGGCGCTAGCAAGGACACCACCCACATGGCCCAAACACCGCCCTGCAGTCCAGTCAAGAGTCTTAACAATAGCAGCTCACCTGTGGGCATTAATCGAAGGTGGGTTTTGCTAATTATACGAGGGTTTTTTTTTGTCTGTCTACTTTGCTAGTCCATCGTGTGCTATAAATTTGGATATGTATTTGGAAGCGAAGCGGACTTCCCGAAAAGTAAATTAAAGCATTGGGGAAGTACAGTGGAATCTTGGGCGGATCTGTGAATAACCAAGGCGGTATAGTTCAGAGATAATGGGGTATTCGGGGCTTTTTCTTGGGTTGTTTACAAAATGAAGATGCTGCGGGCATCCCAAAGAGAAACTGGATTTATATGAATCAGAATATCTACTAGCTTATGAGGAAACTTAATCAATTAATTATTCTCAGATTAGATTTACTCAACCCGCTAACACACATTTAAAGTGTATCTAAAAGTCATAGTATCTCACTTATTTACCTTTCAACTCTTTTAGGACGGCCATTTTGTTGACGCGCAAGGCGCAGGCGGCACTCAAGCGCCCATCGGAGCCCCTGACGACGCCCGTCAAGGAAGAGCACCACAATTCTCAGTCATCTAGCACACAATCGACCAGCGCCAGTTCCAGTTCCACCACAACCGCCGCCACCGCCGCCTCCAGCACGCTGAATGCATCGCTTGCTGCCAGTGCCACGCCCACGCCCAGCAGCTTTTCGTTGGCGCACAACAGCACGAATGCAGCCGGAGTGGGAGCAACCGGCGTCAGTCTAACCTCCACCGCGCTGTCCATAAGCAACAAGCTAAGCCTAAGCCTGGGTGCGGGCCTGGCGCTGTCCAAGTCTCCTAAGCGGCCGGCGCGCTATCGCCGTTTGCCTTCGACGTCACCAAAGAAGTCACCGAATCCAGCGGCTGCAGCAGCAGCAGCGGCGGCGGCGGCGGCGTCGGCAACGACGCCGTTGACAACAACAACCAACCCGTCAATACCTGCATTGGCGCCAGTGGAGCCACTGCCCTTTGAGCGCATTCCAGACAGCTTTCGTGTGTACCGAGGGAACAATCAGCGGGACGTTAGCGAGAGCGACGATGCGCCCTCCCAATCGAGCAGTCCGTGCAGCAGCTGTTCCGACTTCAGTATGTCCGGCAGCTGTTCGGATTTTGACAGCGATGAGGCAAGCGATGGGGATGCGCACAGCGAGGAGGGCGACTCGGATAGCACGAAGGCGAATGCTATGCGCGATGACTCGCAGGAGGAGTGCACCACAGATGCCATGGATCTGCAGCATGCGAGCCTGAACAATGCGCAGGGCAATGGCAACATGGCCATCAGCAGCAGCGACAGCAGCTCCGACAGCGACGATGACGATGAGGATGACGATGATGACGACGAGGATGAGGGGCCCAACAGCTCTGAGCTGCTGGATGCGAATGCAGTGGGCAAACAGCGTGTGACACGCAGCACACCCACACCGCTGCAGGGACGTGGCGGCGCGATGGCGGCGGTCCGTGGCAGAGGTAAACGGCGCAGCAATCTCAGCGAATCGACCAGCTCGACGGCGACGCCGCCGCCCCTGCTACGCAAGGCGGGTAAACTGCGTTCGGCCACGCCCAACGC